ACATGGGGTCCCAGGTGTGAAGTCTCATCCCGGAGAAGGAGGAGGCGGGGACGAGGCCAAAGCGCTTATCCTCAACCAATATGGGGTCCTAGGTGCGTGGTCAGACAGCCCGAAGAAGGCGGAGGCAGGGACCGGGCCGGAGCGCTTATCCTCAACCACTATGGTGTCCCAGGTGCGTGGTCTGGCAGCCCGAAGAAGGGGGAGGCGGGGTATCCTCAACCAATATGGGCTCGCAGGTGCGTGGTCTCACAGCCCGAAGAAGGCGGAGGCGGGGACGAGGCCGGAGCGTTTATCCTCAACCAAGATGGAGTTTCAGGTGCACGGGTTTAAGCTGAGAAAACGGCGGAGGCGCGGACGAGGCCGGAGAGCTTGTCCTCAACCAATATGGGGTTTCAGGGAAAGCGGAGGCGGCGCAGCCGCCGCGCTTATCCTCAACCAGAATAGGGGCCAGGGGGAAGAGGCGCAGCCGCCACGCTTACCCTCAACCAGAATAGGGGCCAGGGGGTACAGCCGCCACGCTTATCCGGTGCCAGGCGAAGAGGTGCAGCCGCCACGCTTATCCTCAACAAGAATGACGCTTATCCGGTGCCAGGCGAAGAGGTGCAGCCGCCACGCTTATCCTCAACCAGAATGGGGGCCAGGGGAAAGAGGCGCCGCCGCCACGCTTATCCAGAATAGGGGGCAGGGGGTACAGCCACGCTTATCCGGTGCCAGGCGAAGAGGTGCAGCCGCCACGCTTATCCTCAACCAGAATGACGCTTATCCGGTGCCAGGCGAAGAGGTGCAGCCGCCACGCTTATCCTCAACCAGAATGGGGGCCAGGGGGAAGAGGCGCAGCCGCCACGCTTATCCTCAACCAGAATAGGGGCCAGGGGGTACAGCCGCCACGCTTATCCGGTGCCAGGCGAAGAGGTGCAGCCGCCACGCTTATCCTTAACCAGAATGCCTCAACCAGAATGGGGGCCAGGGGAAAGAGGCGCAGCCGCCACGCTTATCCTCAACCAGAATGCATGGGGGCCAGGGGCTACAGCCGCCACGCTTATCCGGTGCCAGGCGAAGAGGTGCAGCCGCCACGCTTATCCTCAAGCAGAATTGTGCGGAGGCGGGGACAAGGCCGGAGCGCTTATCCTCAACCAATATGGGGTTCCAGGTGCGTGGTCTCAGCCCGAAGAACACGGAGGCGGGGACAAGCAACCAATATGGGGTCCCCGGTGCGTGGTGTCAACCTGAAGAAGACGGAGGCGGGGACAAGGCCGGAGCGCTTATCCTCAACCAACATGGGGTCCCAGGTGCGTGGTCTCAACCTGAAGAAGACGGAGGCGCATGCAGAAGTGGTTGCTTATCCTCAACCAATATGGTCTCCCAGGTGCTTATACTCAACCTGAAAAAAGACGAAGGCAAGGGACAAGGCCGGAGGGCTCGCATGGAGAGGTGGTGCGCTTATCCTCAACCAATATGGGGCACCAGGTGCTTATCTTCAACCTGAAGAAAGACAGAGACGGGACGAGGCCGGAGGGCTCGCATGCAGAAGTGGCTCGCTTATCCTCAACCAAAAGGGGGTACCAGGTGCCTGCTCATGCTCTAATGACACTCCCCCATTAAGTAAATTCTGCAACAGTGCACACTGTGTGCAAGTGCTCGGTATGCATGACAAGCCGAGTTAGTTCCGCTCGCGTGGGCTCAATGTGAAGAGTCGTAGTCCTGCTCTGTGTCCGAGCTTCGGCCTATAGGTAGGCGCTTACGGCTGGAATCTCAGTCGTCACAACAGCGAGTGCCTAAGATCATGCCCACAGCCCTTGTTTCTGAGATCGACCGGCGCAACAGAGATGTCCGAGAACATGGGCGAGGGTTCCAGAAGCTCAGACCACTCGATTCGGGGCTCCGACCTGGAGGACTGCGAGGACCCTTTCGATTGTTGGGACTGGGTCGACGCAGAAATGCAGCACGACGCCGAGGAAGATGCACGTGGAGGAACAAGATGGAACAAAGAGATGGAGATGCAGAGGGAGTTCAGCGAGCGTCTTGCTGACCTGACGGTGAGGTACCTGAACATGCAGGGTGCCGAGATCCATTCCTCGAAGCCTTATCGCCTGCTCTGCCAACTCGAACCGCCCGGATCTTTCCGGGAAGCTTGGCTCGCCCAGCTGCACGAGGGCAACAACCCCGATCGCAGCCTATCCCTGCAAGAACTACGTGTCAAATTTCAGAAGACCATGAAGCCCATCCCGCCGGAAACGCTGCAGCATCGCAGCACCAGAGAGGTCTTGCTGTTGGACTTGGACAGCAGTCCTGCAGGACCCATTCCCATCGAAGGCACGCAACTGGTTTTGGACGGAGACGTGATCAGCGACGCTTGGAGCTGGCGCGAACTCCTGGACCGCAGCTTCCACGACGAGGTCGTGGACGTGCAAGTTGTCTACATGTCAAAGCAAGCCACAGACCGCTAGAGCTCCAAACGCGAGCAGCAACAAACGCAAAAAGGAGCGAGCGCTGCAGCAAGGGATACGGCAGTCTGGACACGGCCGGTTTGAGCTGTCGTTGCATCTCAGTCCTGCATCGGTCAATGACATGGCTTGTAGACTCAATAGACGGTGATCCAGTCTGGAATCACCTGTTCCTGAAAAGATTTTGTGCTGTTCTTCGTTTGATTAATTTGCTCGCTGATGGAACATGCTTGAGATTTGATCGCAGCCGTGCGGATACAGCCTTAGCTGAGCTTAGGAACCGCCTTATCGCAATTCGTTAGGATGGCGCCTTGCCCACGGTGTGGCTGGCCAATGCAAGGCCGAGGAAAAGGATGGTGCAGCAATCGACAGTGCCGCGAAGCTCAGAAAGAGGAGAACCTCCGCCGGAAGAGCGAGGAGAAGAGTGCTCAACAGCAGAAACGTGCTGCGCAAGGAGCGGGCAGCCGTGGACCTGTGCCTGTTGCAAACAGCACTCGGGCCCAGAGGCAACAACTTCAAGCTGACCGCGCAGAAGAAGGACTTGGCAGCCGCGGGCCTTTGCCCACGGAGAAAAGCAGACAGGCGCAGGGACAACAACTTCAAGCTCAACGTGCAGAAGAAGGACTTGGCAGCCGCGGGCCTGTACCCACGGAGGACCGCAGGCGGGCGCAGGGACAACAACTTCAAGCTCAACGCGCAGAAGAAGGACTTGGCAGCCGCGGGCCTGTACCCACGGAGGACAGCAGGCGGGCGCAGGGACAACAACTTCAAGCTCAACGCGCAGAAGAAGGACTTGGCAGCCGCGGGCCTGTACCCACGGAGGACAGCAGGCGGGCGCAGGGACGACAACTTCAAGCTCAACGCGCAGAAGAAGGACTTGGCAGCCGTGGTCCTTTGCCGATCGCCACAGAGGCCCAACAGCGGGGCTACCCGTTCCCGGATGAAGATGTGCTGACCTCGGAGCAAGCGCAAGCCCACTACTTGGCTTTTACGCGAAGCTGGAGTCGATTCGGATTGTCCAGGGTGTGTGAAGCATGTCACACTCTCACAACCGCGAAGCATTGCAGGCCGGCGAAGCAAACCGGCAACATGCTCTGCAGGAACTGTCGGGAGAATGTCACCAAGATCTTCTTGCCCACTCCACCACCCATCCCAGAAGCGCTCCAGAGCCTGCAGCCGATCGAGCATCACCTGCTCGCCATGGCGCGAATCTCTCAAGTCCTGCTTGACAAGCTTCCTTCCGGCGGGCCAAGTGCGCAGTGGGGCCGCATGTATGCAATGCTGGTCGACGAGCCTTTCATCTGCGACGTGCTGGATGGCGCAACGCTCGAAGAAGATGGCACGGTCCTAGTGGAGGGAGTCCAAGGCATGACCGCTTCGCCGGCCCGCCTCGACCACCTGTACCAAGCCTTGCGGCAGCTGAAATCCCAGCACCGCCTCTACCAGGCGAGCCCGGCTGTGGACAAAGCCCTGGACGATATGGCTGCAATTCTCCATGGCAAAGCGCCCACCGCCAAGGACGATGCTGCAGCAGCAGCGCCTGTGTCACCGGCCGAAAGAGAATCGGAAGAGCTCGAAGTGACATACATGCTTCCCAAAGACCTAAAGGCTCCCCGAGCCGACACACACGAGCTACGAAAGGCCAGGGGCATATCAGCGATGTGCGACGACATGGACGTGAAGCTCTTTCCGCACCTGTTTCCCACCGGCCAGGGCGGGTGGCAGGACCAGTACGGCAGCTTCTCTCAATATGCGCGAAAGCGTCTCCTGAATCTCGACCCACGCTTCGAGGCGTCCGCCGGCTACATCATGTGGCTGCTGGAGATGCACATCAAGAAGCGCCTCTCGGGCAACGTGAATGTCAGGATAGGCCAGGAAGGCCCCAGCGAGAAGACCAAGTACAAGGACGGGAAAGGACGAGTGTTCGCGGCTCTCCGGGACATCCCTGGAACCAGCTCGTACGTCTTCGCAAAGAAGGGCGTCGCGGTCAACATGTACGAGCAGCTCGGAGCGCCCAAATTCTTCATGACCCTGTCGTGCCATGCCCGACAGCCCGACATCCTGATCGCCGTCATCATGGCACGGCTGCTTCGGCTGCGTCCTGCGAAACCGCCACAAGAGATCGAGAGAGAAGCCGCTCAGATCCTGCAGTGCTACCAAGCCGACGAGAAGTTCACCTGGGACGGTCTGTCCCCGAACCAGCTGTGCAATCAGCATCCCGCCGTTGTGGCTCGTCAGTTCATGCATCAAGTAACCCAGCTGATGCACTGGCTGTCCGCCAAGCACGAAGCAACAACGACGCGCCTCGACCAAGATGTGGATGCCGAGGACGATCCTGCGGCCGAAGACGAGGACGACTTTCTCCAGGCGCCGGCCATGGACTCTGCAGGCCAACACCGAAAAGTTTTCAAGGGAGCGCCACCGTTCAGGGTGCTGGACTACATCATCCGCATCGAATGGCAGAAGAGAGGCTATCCGCACGCTCACATCCTACTCTGGGTGATGGAACTTGAGAAGCCAACTCGGGCAGCAAAGATGTCTTCCGAGGACAGATCCGGTCACGAGCCGCAAGCTCCCGACTGGTCGGATGATGAGGTCATGCAGTCCTTCACTCCCAGCTGTGCGGAAGACTGGAGCGACAAGTACATTTGCACCAAATCCCCTTTCACGTGGAGGCAATCCAAGAAACTCTCGTCCCGAGACATCGAGGTGAACGCCAAGTTGGCCGAGCTGTTAGTGCACCACCACTCCGAGTACTGTGGAATCAAGTCGCACGGCGCCTGCCGCCACGGCTTCCCGCACACCGCAGAAACGCGGACCAGGCGCCGTACCTCCCAGGAGAGGTATGCCAACAGCCGCTGGAAAAGTAGCTTGGCGACGAGGCGGGTTCAGTCGGACAGCATGATGGGGCAGTACAACATCAAGATCCTTCGGCGGTGGCGGGCTAGCATGGACCTCCAGGTCATCTGCGAGCTCACCAGCGCGAGCCGCTACATCCTCGGTTATGCCATGAAATCGGAGCAGGACAAGCAAGCGCAACAGCGCGTGGAAAGTATCGTCGCGAGCCTCACCTCCAGCAGCAATAACGACGGCGGCCTCGGCAAACAGCAGGTCTACAAAGCCGCCCACGCCGCGCTGCAGGGCAGAACCACATCGACGTTCGAAGCCTGCCACCTGCTGCTGGGCTTCCCCGTCGTCGAGTTCTCTAGGGATAACGAGTGGATCCAGGTGGGCCCACCATACACTTGGACCTTGTCAGTACCGAAGAACGAGGAGAGCGTGGCCCTGCAGGCGCCAGGCAAATACCGCAGCAAGAAACTGTACCTCGAGGACTCCATGCCCGTGGCCCAGAGGCGGTACCGGGAGCTGCAACGCAGGTTCGGGGAGGAGACCGTCGAGATTCCGGTGGAGGGCGGCAAGTTCAGGAGCTGTCTTTTCAAGGAGGTGAACTTTCTGGATTTTTGCGCAGCCTTCAAGTTCATCGGTGGGGAGCCGCAGCCACGAAGGCGACCTGCGATCGTCGCCTACCGGAATTTCAGTCCTGACCTCGAACCGGAAGCTTTCTACTACTCCAAACTGCTGCTGTACTTGGTCTGGGTAGAGCCAGGAGACTGGCTGCAAGAGGAGGACAACGGAAGCCACGCAGCAGCCTTTCGACGAGTTGCTCGGGACACGACTGCCCACCCAGACTTCCTCCGGTCAAAGTGTTTCCCCGAAATGGATGGGACTGTACACGCGGCCCGGAAGCTGCAAGCCGTCCAGGCGGTCATGTATATGAAGGCGAAGATGCGTCCCGGCGATGTATGGGATGGATGGGCCAACAGCAAGATCGCCCAGGAAAATTACGAAGACTCTTTGAAGATTATGGAGGCATTGAAAGAGCGGTACGGTGGCGAGATCGACTTCCTGCCGCCAGATCACGTGCCAACAGGGGCTGCTGGCGATGCCTTCGCGCCGGTAGAAGGCGGCGAGGAAGCCTTCGAAATGCTGACGACAGAGAACCCAAGCCCCGAAACGAAACATCAGAAGGCAGCCATGGACTACATCGTCGACTACGTCCTCAAGCGGCCCAATACCAAGGACACC